CAAAATTTCCGCTATATGGCTGCGGGTGAACAGTGGGACGCCAATATTGGCGTTGCACTGTTCATCTCCGCCATTTTTACCACTCTACCGAACTTGTCGCGGGAAAAAAAAGAGGCGACGGTTAACTGCAAAAGGGTGAAAAACGCGTTCCATTGGAGATGAAATCACGGCATTTTGTAGTTTCCGGCATTTTGGAGTGAAAAAAGAGATTTTCGGTTGGAGATGATCTTAGTAATTTCAGTTGAAACCGCTCTCCATCAATGTTGTCTGATATATGAGTCTGGCCGTCTGCTTCAAGCTCTCATTCTGTAATAAAATTACAGGTAAATATTACAAAAGTCCTTCAGGATGTTTAATTGTTGCAAACAAAGAGACATGAAATAAATCCATACACAAAATACTGGCTTAACAGATCTGAAAATAATTGATAGGCTGGGTTACAATTCTATCCCTCTCTCTCCATTGGACTCACACATCCACAAATGTGGCTATTTATCTTTTGTAAATTTTGATTCCTTGGACCGTTTTTTTATGTGAAACTGATGCATTCCATATGATTCTGGCATTGCTGGTAGTTGTTCTGAGACAGGATGAGGCAATTAAGTAATGTGGAGCTTAAATTGAAAATGAAGTAGGGAATTAAATGATCCTAAGGATTCTATTGTTCGTTTTGATCTTAATTGCAGGCGTGTACATCCATCAGATGCTACCACTAATGAGATCTTTAACTCAGCAAACTGCACTCCAGGTATTTGTATAAAAGCCCCTTCAAAAGCTCCTTCCGTTTCCCGAGCATGAAAATCATTGTTGAACTTCTAACATCAAGTATTAGCCTTGTGCGCTCATGGTTTCTTATTGTAATTGGTTGAGATTTAAATATCGAATTGCATTCTTCTTGAAAATGTAAACCTTGATGTCAAGTTATACTGACCCAATATTTTCTTTGTTTAATGATGCCAATTGGGAATAGAAAAGAGACATTAACTTCCTTATTATTTAGTTTCTGTGGAGCAGAGGTGTTTCAGCTGTAGCTATTGGACATTGTCAAGTAGCAGAAGACAAAAATAATTCCTTGGAAGAAAAAAAATAGTAGGTGCGGTGCTAACAGATCAATCCATAAAGCATTAATTCTGCTACAACAATCGATACAACTTTGCGTTTGGTTACTTTGTCGTGTTCTGTTGCAATTTAATTTCTGTTCACATAAACATATTTGCTGTACTTGTTAACTTACAGTATAGTGGGTTTTGGTGTGGTGGGTTGAACTATGGATCAAACATGAAGGCTTGCTGCATGTTCCTTTGGCGATTATTGTGTTACTGTTTTCCCTACTATACCAATAACGTTTCTTTTGCTTATTAATGTGAAACAATTGTCATTTTGGCATGGCCAAGTCATTTTAACCATTTGCGATAAATGCTGTTTCGAGGATTGCCTGGAACTTCTCTAGCAACTTATGTTAACAATTTTTTTTTTTAAATTTGTTCTTCAAGACTGGTCAGAATGCTGGTTCTCTATGCTCTATGTAGTGGATTTCGACAATCATTTGTTAGTTGATTGTCCTTGAGTGCTACTTGAGTTATAATAAGAATGTGTTCTTCTTTAACAAGTTGATATTCTAAATCAACCTCTAATTTTTGTGGCCATCAACAGCAAATTTATGTATTTCCTAACCTTTCTCTGACTGTTGTGAATATTTTTGGTGCAGATATAAATTTCTTAAGTTTGTTATCCCATAAAATTCTTTGTTTTCCAGTAAAATGGATGCTTTGGCACATCCTGCAACAATTACTGTCAAGCTGGCCATGAAGTTATAATCATGCATTTATATGGTTTTTATTTGTACTAATAGGAATGACAGGAAGTGGCTCATTCGACATGCTAAAAATGTTACACATGGAGATCTTCCAATATAGAGCAGATTAGTATAACTTCTAAATAATACATCGACTCCGGTACATTTAGATTCGTCCAATGCTGATGACTGCAATAACAACGAACAATCCCCGAGTCAGTCATCTGAAGAATTTAGATGGTAGGTGCCGCCGGCGGATGATGGAATTTGGCTCATAGTTTTTTTTTTACTTAAATATTTATTTTTTTAGATTATGAGGGTGCTTTGATAAATTTTATGTCTTGTTTTGATAGTTTGAACTTTTTTGGATAAATTTTTTATTTCTATTCATGTATTAATTGCTGGATATTTTAAGTCATTGTATTATCTACTGAGAGCTGCTTGTATTCTTTTCACTCTATATATGTTGAAGCATCCATTTGACATTGCTTGTGTATCTATTTGCCATTGCATGCGTATTTATTTAATCAGAAAAATTGATTTTTGCAATATATTCTTTTAATTAGTCCTACCCTTTAGCAATGATTTTAACCCCTGCTAAACGCGCTGCTAAAGCTTTCCTACAGCAACTGTTTCTAAGCCGCTGCGAAAGCCTTTCCACCAAACTTAAATACAACGGATGTGCAGTCATTTCTAAACCGCTGCAAATAATTTCACAGGTGTTTAAACTGTTGTTGTAGGTTAGAAAAAGCATTATGACAACCTAAGTTATTAGTAGTGATCCTCACAATGGTGTGACTAGTTCGCATCAAGAAGCCATGAAAAAAATACCAATAAGATGCTTGCTTTAACAAAGTGATAAACCATCCGCATTATATATAGGACCCTTACAAGAGTTCCATATACAATGGATAGATGGCTTATAAGAACATAGTACATTAGGAAAAATTGCATCTTTAGTGAATCATAGGCAATGCCCATCAAATTTTGAAATTTCAGACAACCAACATTAAGTGATAAGAGCTATGAAGCATTATGTAATTGCATTTGCTTATATGACACGAAAAGAAGCATGTAACATGATATTATATTTTCATTGAGTACCCAGCCACAGTAATGGTTTCCACAAAAGTATAAATGAAGCACATTATATACTGAATGACAAAGGAAAATATAATAAAAATTAAATATTTCGTAATATGCTCAGAAGAGTGAAATGGAGTTAATCAACACATAAAACTTTTAGCTAACAATTATAAGTTAGTTTTCCTCCACCTATGGAGTAAATACAGAGGAAAAAAAAACCATTCACTTACGTGAAGTTGGCTTCACATTTGGCCACGAAGAATCAAGATATCTTTATTACCATCTTATTCTTTTTCCCTGCAGACAACAACAATAGCTTTCCGCTCACAATATCAAATTCCTCGATCATCTTGCCCTCATTGTCAACTCTCTTGTTATTCAAATAGAACCCTCCTTGTTTTATCAAACGCCTTGCGGCAGATTTACTGGCAAGAAAACCAGAAGTGACAGATATCTCAACCAGTAATGAGTTCAGCACCTGATCATATGGCAGAGAGCATGATGGAACATCCTTTGCTATTCCTTCAATTGTCTCTGGATCTAACTCTGTCTCTGACCCCGGCTTTAAAGCTTTTGTTGCCTTCACTGCCTCAGCAAGTCCTTCTTCACCGTGAACAAATCGTGTTACTTCTTCTGCAAGCCTCTTCTGAGTCGTATTGGGAACATAGCCAGGCTTCTTCATAGCTTCCTCCAACTCCTGAATCTCCTCCAAGTTCAAGAAGGTTAAAATCTTCAAAAACCTCACAACATCCACATCCGGCACAGAGATAAAGTATTGATAGAACTTATAAGGTGACAGCATTGCAGGCGACAACCATATGGCACCATCTTCAGATTTTCCAAACTTGGATCCATCACTCTTTAGCAGAAGAGGGAAAGTCAGTCCATAGGCACCTTCCACCTGCAAAATCTTCCGGATGAACTCAGTTCCAGCAGTAATATTTCCCCATTGGTCGCTCCCACCTATCTGAACATTTACACCCATATTCTTAAACATGTAAAAAAAATCATAGGCTTGAAGTAACTGATAGGTGAACTCTGTGTAACTAATACCCTCTTCAGACATCAACCGCTTCTTCACGCTCTCCTTGGCCATCATAGTTCCAACCCTAGCGTATCTACCCACTTCTCTAAGAAAATCCAGCAACGTTATTTCCTTATACCAGTCAAAATTATCCACAACCAGAAAACAATTATCCGAATCTTTACAATCTGAGTTCAGAATTTCATCTTTTGGATAACCCATTTTTAATTCTATGTTCGTGTTAGCTCTATGAAGAATTCTATAGACTAGAACCCTAATTTGGGCGCAGTTCTTCTCTATGGTCTCCACGTCCAATTCCGGCCTCTCCAGGCTTTTCCCCGAGGGGTCTCCGATCCGGCCAGTGGCGCCGCCAATTAGGGCAACGGTCTTGTGTCCACATCGCCGGAACCATGCGAGAACAATTATTCCAATAAGATTTCCTAAATGCAAGCTTTCTGCAGTCGGGTCGAAACCGCAATAAACTTTGAGTGGGATACTGTTGGGATTAGAGCAAACCGACCTGAGATTGTCGCTGGTTATGGATTCCACGAGGCCGCGCTCACGGAGGATGTCGACGACGTTGGGGATGGCGAGCTGTGGTTGAGCTTCTAGGGTTTGGGGGGACGATGAGGGGAGCGAGAAATTGCAGAGTCGAGAAAACCGCGGACTGAGGCGATGCCTAGGGTTGAGGAAGTGAGTAGTTGAAGGCCGAAGAAGCGCCGTCATCGCTGCGGCTGCCACTGCCATGGCTTTAGGCGGGGCGCTTCACTTGGCAACTGGTCATTAATAGCCGGTAATGGAGTTAATGAAGTGTGAGATTACACTGGTTCAGACCTTCAAATCTATCGCGTTAAGTACTTTAGGGCTGTTCGGTAGCAAACATTACTTGATTTAAGTAGGATTTCGTAGATTTTTTAAATTTGGATTTTGGAAATTCTGAAGGCTTAAATTTAAAAAAAAAAATATTTGATATTATTAATGATAATTTCTATTAAATACCGTTAAACTGTTTGGCTATAAAATGGATTTCACGATCGGACTCTTCCTCTGAAGCTAATAGATTTCATAAATCCAGCAAAAAATAGGATTTCGCAAATCTGAGATTTAGCTCGAAAAGGCAGAATTTTTCGTCTACCAAGGCTTTCATTTGCCGCGAGATTTGATTTTGCATTTTAGGCCGTTTGGGTGGATTTCTCTTAAGTCCACCTCAAATTCGACCTAAGTCCTGCTACAAAACAGCCCGAAACTTTGGTTATTGCTATAAAAACTATTGTTTTGTTGTTTTCCATTAGAGTTGTGGACTTTTTCTCGATGTTTTTCCAATTTTGTTAAATTTTACTTGAAATCTTCAAGTATTTCTATCACATGCCCAAAGCATTCCTCCACTTCAACCATCTTTCTTGAATTGGACTAATAATATCTCTATCTATTTCCCCAACACTTCGAACAATAGGCCAGAGATATTTAAAATGTGCACTCTTTTTAATGACTTGATCATCCAAATTCACAATCCCACCAATAGATTTATTACTGTTAAAATTATACTCCATGTATTCAATTTTAGATCTATTTAAATGAAAACCTTTAGATTCTAAGATTAACCTCCATAACTCAAGTTTTCATTATGCTCCCTCTCTAATCTTATCAACAAGAAGGAATGTTATATGCAAAAACATACACCAAAGTGCATCCTTTTGCAAATGTCTAGTAAGAACATTCATGACTAAAGCAAGAAGACAGGCTTAAAGTTGATCCTTGATGTAATCCTATTGAAATAGGAAAATACTTAGTCAAACAACATCGTGTTTGAACACAAGTAATAGGTCCTCCATACAAATCCTTAATGACTTAAATATAAGCATTATTAACCTCTTTCTTTTCTAATACTCTTGAGCACTTCTCTTAAAACTTTTACATATGCTTTCTCTAAATTAATAAATATCATAAGTCGATCCTCCTTACTCTATGTTTACTTCTCCTTACTCTTTATATTTATTATTATAATAAAAAAATAATTGATGCAGATATCAAAATAATTTGCATAGATAATGCTCATGATTATTTTAATTAGATTGCATCTTTGTTCTTCAATAAAAAAATATATCATTCATCAATTCTTATATTCTGATATCCTCCAATAAAAAGCTGTTGACCTCGATTTTGCCCAGACCCGGGCCTAAAGAGTTGACTTGGTCAAACTGACCGAGTCAGACCCTGTGGACCCCCCCATTGGGTTCGGGGGGTCGAGTCGAGTCTGTCGAGCTCGAGCTTGGACCCTGGGTCAACCCGTTTGACCAAGTCAACCATGGTTGACCGATTTGGGCCCTTTAAGCCTAGAGTTAATTTTAAATTAATTTAATGGGTTTCATGGCTCGATCCTCATCCCCTTTAATTGGCTTGACTGATTTGACCAAGTCAAGCTTTGACCTGGTCAAATCGAGTCTTAATTGGGTCAAAATCTCCTATTTAATTGAAATTAAGAGGTCATTAAGGGGATTTAAAGCCTCCAAACGTTTTGGAATTGAAAGGCCCGTGGTTTGAAACTTATTTTCCCTCCTAATACCATCTTGATGCATCCAAAATATTTGGGTAATTTGTTTGTCTTTATTCATAGATAACACTTAGAATAAACTTAACATTAGAGTACTAAAATGTGTTTATAGTACTAAACGAGAGCTTCTTATTCTTATGACTGAGTTTCTAGTTTTTTTAAACTTAAAAATTGCAATACTTTTTCACTCTTCAGGAAACCAAATGCCTTCTCCTGCAAGGACTTAAAAAGCCACTTCTCCCATTGTTTTTTGGATGATAACCCCACTTTTTTTCTTTGTTCTCATTGTTTGCTTCTTGTTGTGGGATGTTAAATCTTTCTAAGTCTATTTATATTGGTAATAAGGGATGAATTTGATGTTATATTTTCCTATAAGATATTGTAAGCTCTTTCAAAAGGCAATAAATGATTTCTTCAATATAATTGTATTAATACATGATCTTCGAAATATTTTTATAGTTCATAAAAATGGATTAGTCTAAAGCTTTGTCTGAAACAGCTTTCTTACTATTTCTTATAGCAGATTTATAGTACAAAAATTAAAATTTTTATGCTAGAAAGCTGTTTTAAGAAAAGCTAAGAAAGCCGTCCCAAATGAAGCCTAAGGAAACTTAAGCTTCGTTTGGGATGACTTTCTTACTTCTTCCTAAAGCAGCTTTATATTACAATCATTTTTTAATCTTTGTACTAAAAAGCTGCTTTATGAATTAGTATAAAAGTCATTCCAAACAAAACATCAATCATATCTTTTGAAGATTCTATTATGAGAAAATTTAGATCTATATTTCTAATAACCCAAATTTGTTAGGCTGTCCCAACTTGTTGTAGTGGTTCAAGTCCATTTATTCTTCAGTTCAATCTTTTCAAGTATTCATGGATTTTGTATGAATTTTCAGGAACTCATCCAAGAACTCCCACAATAGTAAATAAACGGAGAGGGGAAAGGATATGTTGCCTAGTGGTTGGAGAAGCTTGTTTTTCTAAGGTCAAGGATTTGAAAAAGAAAAATAAGTTAGATTTGGATAGGATAGATATAGGTTAGTGATTTCAAGCAGGGTATCTAGCCACCCTCAACCCACCCAATCAAAGGAAGGAGAGAGAGGAAAGAGAGATCAGAATTCATGGATGCCAGGACCCACAACAATTCCTTTTTTTTTCCTAAGACAATATCAGCAGCGTTGAAAAATCTTAGCTCGGTGTTCTTTTACTTAGGATGGTCCAGTCATTTTCTTGCTTCATGGGATGAAGAAAAGAGACCGATTAATAAGGCAGACCATTCACTCTCCACCCAAGAGATTAATCTGTGCCGACACCGAATGGGAGAACCGTCCGGTACCGCTTGGTATCGAGCACGGTACCAAGTGACCACGCTCGGTATTACTCGGTATCGTGCTTAATTGGTACCGAGTGCGGTATACTTTTGGGGGACATGGCGTATTTTTATTGGCCTCTGGGCGATGTCCGGACTCTGCACAGAATAATTTGCCCCATTCTCCAGCGTAAAATTCAGAATGCAGATAGAATTCTATGGGGCGGTTTCGTAGAAGGATTTAGGTTGAATTTGACATGGATTTGAACGAAATCCCGCCAAATGGCCTAAAATGCAAAATCAAATCTAACGGCAAATGAAAGCCGCCGTAGACGAAAAATTCTGCGTTTTCGTGTCCCGAATTTCTGAAATCCTGATTTTTTGCGAGTTTATGAAATCCGTTAGCTCAAGAGAAAGAGTCCACTCATTAAATCCATTCTATAGTCAGACAGTCACACCGAATTTAATAGAATTTATCATTAATTTTATCAAATAATTTTCAGAATGTAGTCCGTTCGGAATTTCCGAAATTTGGATTTAGCGGATTTAAGAAATCCTATTTAAATCAAATCCTCGGTGCTGACAACCAGCCTATGTGAAGCCAAAAAAGCCCCCTTCTCTTATTTTCTCCTAGGAAAGAAGGTGGCTTGGGCCAGTCTTACCCACTGCCTTTAACTCCATTATAGCTTATAAGAAAAAAAAAAAAAGCAGACCGCCAAATCTTGCTTCAGATATCAAAAGGCATCGTTTTAGTTGATCTTCTTCCCTCTAAAGAAGGAAAAATTATTGCGTCCTCCCACCTAACGTAGAGATGCGTCCTCCCACCACCAAAAAATTCGGTTTTTGCTCGGTATTGCTATGTATTATTTGGTAATAATGAGGAATATCATCATGTGAAGATCAATACCGAGTTATACCGAGCTATACCGAGCTATACAGACCAATACCGGTGTGAGGACGCAATAATTTTTCCTAAAGAAGGTTGCTTCTTGAAAACAGGAGAGAAAGCAAAAGGGAGGGTCTGCTCATATTTCCCTGCAGACTAAACATTCCGCACCATTACTGGCATTTTTTTTCTAAATTCAAAACTCAAAATTTAACATTTAAATCGAAATCAATTCAATTCAGCTCGAAATCAATCCAAATTCATTTTAACAAACATTTATTATTAAGAGATTTGGCTCTACTCAACTTAAAAATCTACTAAGAATCAATTATTTTCGAACCTACTCAAGTTTGACTCAACTGTAAATCAAGTTTTTTGATCATAAGTTGGAGAAATTATTCTATCCGGAGACCGGACGAAGAACACCGTTTGGAGACCAATCATAATGCGTCACGTCAGCGGTACCGAGCCACGGTACCAAGCACATGGGTGACGTGACACATTTTGCTTGGTCTCCAGACAGCGTTCGACGTCCGCACAGAATAATCAATCCATAAGTTGAGTTTGGTTTCCTTAATGTTGAAACTCTCTTGACAAATTTTTATATGCGGAGTCCGGATGTCGTCCAGAGACCAATAAAAATGCGTCACGTCATCCCAAAAATGTTCCGCGCTCGATACTGTCAGCTCAGAATAATCTCTCCTATTCCTCACCATGTTATTGTTGGCTGCAGCATACGGTTGAAGTGACTTGTATATGTGATGCCTTGTCATTGATCATTTATCATTTATCTTATTGAGTAGTTGCCAGATTACCCTGTAGATTGACTGTAACATTAAAACCATAGCCAAAGTTGATAGATTCTTCTGAAGAAAATAACTACGGAGGGGCAATCTTAAACTGGTGACATTATTCCGAGCTTCTCCAGCCGTTCGGCAAATAGGTAAATGGAGAGGTTCAGACGTCGCAACCGAACTCCATTTTTACCGGCATTCAGTCGTTGATGTACAGGGCGACACCAATATTGGCGTCGCACTGTTCACTTTCGCCATTTCTTTCTCTCTACCGAACTCAGTCTGAGAAAGGCGTGAAAGAAACGACGATAAT